GGAAGATCATATAATGAAGATATCCTTACGTAGAGGAGGTCAGAACAAAAATGCTTTCTTGATAATGTCCAGACACAAAATTACCTGGAAGCTAGGTAAATAAAAATAAATAATATTTTACACAGAAACAATTAGTTCTAAAAACACATGTGTAGAATAAAAACTAGTTCTTACCAACTTATAATTATAGGCATTTATTAACAGGATGCCTCTCTCTCCTAGGAGCTCTGAATGATCTGTATTTATAAGGGTGATGTTGGCACTCAAACTTAAAAATGTATGTAGCTGGTACACAGAAATGGAGCCAGATTTTTTTAAAAGTTAGGAACACTATAAAACATGACTCATAAAACATATACTATCATTAGAGAAACTGTGAATGAATGATATAATTATTCCTTGATGGTATCCCCACTACATATTTTATTTTAATCAGATGAAAACATCAAAATTGTTCTGATTAATCAATAAAAGTCTCACTGCATCATCTATTCAGCATTCAAAATAACCTCTTGCACTGGTTTAAAAGACCACCGAAAGATTACAATACTATAATTCGTAATGCCCTTTTAAAGTACAACGGCTTAGTATTTAAAAGGCCCCCTATTTTACACATGAGTCTACAGTGAGGTAGTCCAACAACTATTCACCAAACAACAAAGGAAGACTTTTGAAGCTGCAAAATCAAGTCTGGTTAGTTTTTTAAGTAGTGTCTATATTAAAATTACAGGGGTTTCATTTCTTAGCAACAATCTCAGTGGAGAAAACCTTTACTATTCTTGGACAGTTTTTCTGAAGAAAAGCTACAAGAACACTGTCTTCTTTCCTTCATGAGACTTTTGAACCTAACAGATCTGTACTGGGGGACAGGTTCCTGTCTCCATAGGAAACTCTTTCTTCCCACACCATCCAAGCAATCTGCGTGTCTCTAAACCAGAGGCAGGTAACCAAGGCACCTAAGGCAATCTTTAGTGTCACTCTGTTCCCCATCCCACATGTGGTTTCTTTTAAAAAGTATCTTAGAGGACTTCCGCCAAGATGGAGGCATAGGTGGAAGCACTGCACCTTCACGCACAATCAAGTTTAAAAACAACAAAATTTTAGCAACAAAAATGCAGCCAAATCCCAGAATATTGAACTACACGGAAGTGTGACAACAACCAACCCTTCAGCCAAACTGGTAAGAGGGGCAGAGCCAGCAGCAGAGCAGGGTCAGGCAGAAAAGATCCACTGGACCGACCCAGGCGTGCCAGCAGCCGTGGGCAGATCCCAGGTGTGGAGAAGCAGGCAGACCCACTGAAGGCACAAGGCGTTGGACCCACTGAGGGCTGATCATGGTCACACATTCACGCATAGATAAACCGGTGAAGGAGCGAGCTGTGAGACAAACCGTGCAGGCCTCAGTGGCGGGAAGAGGTTGAGGGGACTGCCATTGTCCCTCTCTGACCCTGACCCCACATACAGCGTCACAAACCAGAGACCTGGGCAACCCCACCCTGGTGAACAACTAAGGCTCCGCTCCTCATACATAACAAGCATGAACAGATCAAAACATGGCTCAAGAACAACTCAGAGCCCCAGAGCCAATAAATCTAAGCAATGAAGAAATAGCCAAACTTTCAGATGCACAGTTCAAAACACTGGTGATCAGGATGCTCACAGAACTGGTTGATTTTAGTCACAAATTAGAGGAACATATGAAGGCTAAACTAATTGAAATGAAGGGAAATGCACAGGAAACCAATAGTAATGGAAAGGAAACTGGGACTCAAATCAAAGGAGCGGACGAGAAGGAGGAAAAAAATGACCAAACAGAAAAGGATGAAGAAACAAGAATTCAAAAAAATGAGGAGAGGCTTAGGAACCTCCAGGACATCTTTAAAGGTTCCAACATCTGAATTATAGGGGTACCAGAAGGGGAAGAGGAACAGCCAAGAGTGGAAAACTTATTTGAACAAATAATGAAGGAGCAGGAGGAGCAGGAGAAGAAGAAGGAGAAGGAAGCTTTTTCTGGCAAAGGAAATAGACTCCCTGGAAATCCAGGAAGCTCAGAGAGTCCCAAAGAATTTGGACCCAAGAAGGAACACACCAAGGCACATCATAATTACATTAGTCAAGATTAAAATGAAGGAGAGAATCCTAGAAGCAGCAAGAGATAAGGGGACAGTCACCTACAAAGGAGTTCCCATCAGACTGTCAGCAGATTTCTCAAAAGAGACCTTACAGGCAAGAAGGGGCTGGAAAGAGGTATTTCCAAGTCATGAAATCCAAAGACCTACATCCAAGATTGCTCTATCCAGCAAAGCTTTCATTTAGAATGGAAGGGCAGATAAAGTACTTCTCAGGTAAGATAAAATTCAAGGAGTTCATCATCACCAAGCCCTTATTATATGAAATGTTAAAGGGACTTACCTAAGAAAAAGAAGATAAAAAAAGATGAACAGTGAAAGGACAGCAAACTCACAGTTATCAACAACCACACCTAAAACAAAAGCAAACTAAGAGGACAGCTAGATCAGGAGCAGAACCATAGAAATGAAGATCACATGGAGGGTTAGCAACAGGGGAGTGGGAGGAGGAGAAGGGGGGAGAAGGTACAGAAAATAAGTAGCATAGATGGTAGGTAGAAAATAGATAAGGGGAGGGCAAGAATAGTAGGGGAAATATAGAATCTAAAGAACTTGAGACATGTGGTCATAAACTAAAGGGGGGGGAATGGTGGGGGAGGGGTGTGCAGGGTGAAGGGGAATGAAGAGGGGAATAGAACAAATGTAATGGCATAATCAATAAAATATATTTTTTAAAAAAGTATCTTATCAAAGAATATTTACATGCCCCCCAAAAGGTCACTTTTTAGCAAAACACTATCTACAACCCCCAAATCTTCCAATAATTGATTTGCTTCAGAAAACTGTGCCAAACTGTGCCATATTACAACCACTTATGGAAATGTACCAGATTTTTGTTTTTCTCAGATTCCTCCCCCACATACAGCACCACAATGCAGCAAAGTGGGTTGCCCACACCTGATGAATACTTAAAGCTCCACCCCTTACAATGTAACAGGTGCACCCAAATGAAAGAACAGGTCAAAGCTCCAGAAAAAGAACTAAGAAACAAGGAGATAGCCAACCTATCAGATGCACAGTTCAAAACTCTGGCAATCAGGATGCTCACAGAAATGACTGAGTACAGATGCAATATAGAGGAAAAAGTGAAAGCTATACAAGTGAAGTAAAGAAAAATACATAGGGAACCAACAGTGAAAGAAAAGAAACAGAAACGGAAATCAAAGATTTAGAACAGAAGGGAGAAATAAACATTCAACCAGAGTAGAATGAAGAAACAAGGATTCAAAAAATGAGAGGCTTAGGATCTTCTGGAACAACTTTAAACATTCCAACATCTGAATCACAGGGATGTGCCAGAAGGAGAAGAGGAAGAGCAAGAAACTGAAAACTTATTTGAGCAAATAATGAAGGAGAACTTCCCCAATCTGGCAAAGTAAATAGACTTTCAGAAAGTCCAGGAAATCAGAGTCCCAAAGAAGTTGAACTCGAGGAAGCACACGCCAAGGCACATCATAACTAAATTACCCAAGATTAAAGATGAGAAGAGAATCTTAAAAGCAGAAAGAGAAAAGAAGACAGTTACCTACAAAGGAGTTCCCCTAAGACTATCAGCTGACTTCTCAAAGAAACCTTACAGGCAAGAAGGAACTGGAAAAAAAGTATTCAAAGTCATGAAAGGCAAGGACCTACATCTGATCTGAGATTACTCTACCTAGCAAAGCTACCATTTAGAATGGAAGGGAATATAAAGTCCTTCTCAGATAAGGTCAAGTTAGAGTTCATCATCACCCAAGCCCTTATTACATGAAATGTTAAAGGGGCTTATCTAAGAAAAAGAAGGCCAAAACCCTGAACAGTAAAATGACAACAAATTCACAACTATGAACTGAACCTAAAAAACAAAACGAACTAAGCAAACAACTAGAACAGGAACAGTATCACAGAAGTGGAGATCACATGGAGAGTTATCAGCAGGGAGTGGGGGAGAATGGGAGAAAAGGTACAGAGAATAAAAAGCATAAATGGTAGGTACAAAACAGAAAGGTTGAGGTTAAGAACAGGAAATGGAGAAGCCAAATGATTTATATGTATGACTCATGGACACAAACTAAGGGGAGGGGATGCTGGAGGGAGAGAGGGTGCAGGGCAGAGGGGGACAAAGGGGAGAAAAAACATGGGACAACTGTAGTAGCATAATCAGTAAAATATACTTAAAAATGAAAAAATGTACTGGATTCTGCTATGTATAATGTGCTCCCACGTATAATGTGCAGCTATGTCTTTGGCCCAAACTTTCAGAAAAAAATCCTTCATTTTAATTTTTTAATTCGATTTATTTATTTATATTTAGATACTTGCTTTTTGTATTATGAAGGAATTTTAGCATTTATTTTTTTATCATATTATGGTACAAGAAATTTTATGTACCAAATAAGCACAAAACACAAAAACATACAAGGTATTTCAGGCACTGCCCAGGTATAATGCACATTCTTATTTTTCCCTCAAAAATTTGGGCAAAAAAGTGCACAGTACACACAGCAAAAGATGGTATGTAGTCTAGACAATACAGATTGTATGTCCAATGAATTAGGAAAAATTCGGGATTTGCATTATTAGAGGAACTACCATAATTAATTCAGGAAAGAATCATTAATTATTTGGCAAATTAATTTTGGCAAAATGATTTGCCAAAATTATTCACAACTATATAGAAAACAAACCCTAAAATAAGCAAATCCGCTGAACAGGGCCACAAATATATACAAAACATAAATTCTTAGCAGGATTTAATTTTTAAAAAGATTTGTTCCAAATATGACTTGTACACAACTGAAAGAATTCCATACTGTCTTAAAAAAGCTCACACACTTGATTCCAGCATGGAGCATAAAATAGTTCTCAATACAGGCATAAAGAACTACTCACCTCCATTTTCACAGCGGCAGTGTTCTGGTCATAATGACCCATCAGATTGGGGAAAAACGTCATGTTGTAGGTCATTTTCATACACCTGGGGACGATGATTGGCTCACAGGTGAAAAGGCTGTGCCCTCTGACAAGGGGTAGAAAAACACATGTCCACAGAAATGGAAACATTTCCATTTTCTTCGAGTCCCTGCTTTTACCACATGGCTTGGATTAAATTGCTCTTTCCATTGTCAGATTCCCACCCAAAGATAAAACGTTCAAATTTCTCATTTCATTATTTCACCATTTTGAAAGAAGCTCTTTTCCTGAAAATGAGTTCCAGGTCAATGGCTGAAAAAACAACCAAGAGGCAGTTATCAGCAACATTTGTCACAAACTCACACGCGGAAGTTCAAGTGCAGCGCTAAGACTTGCACCTAGGTCACCAACACTGGCAACACGACGGCAAATTCCATCCACTCTTCCACCTGCCTGAGCCCAGACTGTTATCATTTGCAGAGGAAATCTCATCTCTAGGGAATCAATGACAGAAGGTTTGTGCGGCACGGAACACAGGCTAAAATGGGGGTACTGGATAAGTGAGACAGAAAAAAAGTAATGCAAGGCATTAGGAATAAGTTAAAAAGGATTTACAGAACAATAAACTCTTAAGACTCTGCTGGACATCGTAGCATGTAAAAGAAAACTGGGTCCCAGGGAAATTCTGAAGACCCAGTGAGTTCTTAAGTGAATTCTTTAAAGACTAAAAGGCAGTTTTTGTGGCAGGGGTCTAAGGGTCTAATGCTTTTCCGTTTTTTAAAAAGGGCGACTCCCAGGATTCCCACCTGCGGAGCAGCAAAACTAGTTTTCCTGAGCTGGGGCCCAGTGGTCCCACCGAGAAGGGAAATCCGCAGCTCCGGCCCCGAAGGGCGACGGCGCGTCTGTGGGAGGGAGACTGCGGGCCCCGAGGCACGAAGGGCCGCACCCCCCGCGCCCCACGCGCCCCACCCCACCGAACCCGCGCCCGAGCCTCCGCTCCCAGCGCCCGCGCGGTGACGCGCCCCGCGCCCGCGCACCTGCCCCGGGCCCGAAGCCGGGCGGCAGCGTCCCCGGACCCACGACGGCCCCGCGTCGCCTTCCTGGAGCTGGCCCCGACTTCCGCGAAAACTTCGCCGGAGCGGCCGGTCTCGCCTCCCGACCCGGCGCGTCCTCCGCGCACCTGCGGCTCGGAGCGCGCCCCCGCTTCCCCCGCGCGCTGGGGGCGCGCCCCGACCGCCCCGGCCTCCCGGGGACTCGCCACCCGCGGCGGCCCCCACCACCCCGCCCCAGCGTGCGGCCGCGGAGCCTCACCTCGGGCGACCGTGGAAGGCAGCTTCCCCTCCCCGTACCCGTCCAGCCCGCCGGACACCCGCGACCGGAGCCCGCTCCGGGCTGGTCCCGGACGCCAGCCGCCCCCGAGCCGCACGGGGAGCGAGAGCTGAATGATCCCGCGAGACTGCGCCGCCCGGCCGGCGGGCAGGTCCGGGCTCGTGGCGGCGGCGGTGGCGGCGCTGTCGGGCCTGGCCCTCTGCCCGCGCTCCGCCCGCGCTCCCCGGCCGGCCGGGCTCTGGGCGGGCCCGGGCTGGGCTGGGGCGAACGGTGTCCGGTGCCGCCGGCTGCTCGCCCTGCGTTACAGCACCTGAAGCATCCGGCTGCCTTCCAACTCGCTGTCCCGTCCAGAGGGATACAGCCTAGAAGGATTTGTGGAAGCTCTTGGCGATGCCCCAAATAAAGCTCGCTTTTTAAAAATCCACTTCATTTTGGATTTCAGAAGCTAAGACTTCTTTAAAAAAATTAAATTTTCAATTACAGTTGACATTCGGTATTATATTAACTTCAGGCGTACGGCGTAGTGGGTAGACAATCATATGCTTTAAAAAGTGATCTGCCCCCAATATTTCCAGTGCACACCTGGCACTATACATAGTTATTATTATTCACTACATTCCCTATGCTGTATCCCCATGACTTTCGTAACTACTAATTTGTACATCTTAATCTCTTCACTTTTTTCACTCTGGTCTGCCAACCCCCTCTTTCCTCTGGCAAACCATCATCAGTCTGTTCTTTGAGTCTGTTTCTGGGTTTGTGTTTATTTTGTTCTTTAGATTGCACACACAAATCAAATCATATGGTACCTGACTTTCTCTGGCTGACTTACTTCACTTAACATACCTTCTAGGTCCACCCATGCTATTACAAACGATAAGATTTCATTCCTTTTATGGCAGTAATATTCCATTCTATATATGATGTTCCACAACTTTTTTTGTCCGCTCTTTTATTGATGGGCACTTGGGATGCTTCTATATCTCAGGAGCCAAGATTTTGAAACAGGGCCAATTTGTTCTGTGAAGTCAATTGCCCAAGTGATCATAGCTGGAAACTAAGTAACTTCCTGAATAACCGAACTAAAAAAAGCTTGTGTTAATTCCCAGAATCTGGTCATGATCTCCACACACAGATGGCAATGGGATTCCAGCCCAGGCAGGTCCTACAGTTTTATTGATTCGAAATCATAATAGAAAGTTGAACTGCTTTAGCAGTTAATCTAGTTTTCAGTACCAACTATGACACACACAAGCTCATACGTTTAACTTAGTCATCCCTCCTGCCCTCCTAACACCCAACACACAGAGCTGTCTACTGTCTCTGTAGTTTTGACTTCCAGAATGTCATATAGTTGGAATCATACAGATACAGCCTTTCAGACTGGCCTTTTTCACTTATTAATATTCTTCCATTTCTTCTCATGTCTTGATAGCTCATTTCCTTTTAGTGCTGAAAACTATTTTCTTGTCCGGGTGTACACTGTTCATGTACCCCCACCCAAGGGCATTGCGGTTGAGTCTAAGTTTTGGCAATTATGAATAAAACTGCTGTAAACATCTGTGTGCAGGTTTTGTGTGGACATAAATTATCAACTTTTCTGGGTAAATACCAAGCAGTACTATTGCTGGATCCTATGGAAACCATATGTTTGTTCTATAAGAAACTGCCAAACTGTCTTTGGCAAAAGACAGATCTCTCAAACTGTTTGAGAGATCTGGTTGCTTCACATCCTTGTTAGCGTTTGGTGTTGTCAATGTTCCAGATTTTGGCCATTCTAATAGGTGGGTAATGGTATCTCATTGTTGTTTTAATTTGCATCTCCCTGATGATTTACCATCTACATATCTCCTTTAATGAGAGGTCTGTTAAGATATTTGGCCTATTTTTTAATCAGGTTATTTGTTTTCTTATGGTGGAGTTTTAAGAGTCCTTTGTATATTTTGGATAACAATCTTTTATCAGATATCTATGTTTTGAAAATATTTTCTCTCAGTCTGTGGTTTATTTCCTAACTTTCTTGACATTATCTTTTGCAGAACAGAAGTTTTAGATTTTAATGAAGTCCCACTTACCAATGATTTCTTTAATTGATTGTGCCTTAAATATTATATTTAAAAAGTTATCACCCAATCCAAGGACTTAGATTTCTCCTTATTTTACTTTCCCGGAGTTTTATAGTTTTGTATTTTACAGTCAGGTCTGTGATCAATTTTGAGTTAATTTTTATGAAGGGTGTAAGATTTCTAACCAGATTCATTTTTTTGCATGTGGACGCCCCATTGTTCCAACACTGTTTGTTGAGAAAGAAAATATTGCCTTAGTTTCTTTGTCAGAGATTAATTGACTTTATTTAAATGGGTCTATTTTGGGGCTCTCTATTCTGTTCCATTGATCTATTTGTCTATTTTTTTGCCAATAACACAGTGACTTGATTATTGTATCTTTACAGTAAGTTTTGAAATTGGGTAGCATCAGTCTCTAAGTTTGTTTTTCAATATTGTGTTGACTATTCTGGGTCTTTTTCTTCTCTGTATAAACTTCAGATTCAATTTGTTGATATTTACAAAATAACATGCTGGGATTTTGACTGTGATCTCATTGAATCTATACATCAAGTTGGGAAGCACTGACATTTTAGCAATATTGTGTCTTCCTATCCACGAAAATTGAATATCCCACCATTTATTTACATCCTCTTGGATCTTTTTCAACAGAGTTTTGTACTTTTCCTCATGTAGACCTTATATATTTTGTTAGATTTATACCTAAGCATTTCTTTTGGAGGGTGTTAATGTAAATGGTACCATTGGGGGTGTTTGAGTGTATTTTTCTCAATTGGTGTAATGTTTTTTTCCTCCATCTATCACCATTTATCTCCCCTGTATTCTCCTCTACTTCTCCCCACTCCCCATTTCTCCCAGGCCATCACCACATTGCTGTCCATGAGTTTTCTCTCTCTCTCTGCTCTGTCCCTCCAGGTGTTATGTTTTTTTACTCCAAATTCTACTTGTTCATGACTGATATATAGGGTGTTAACCTTGTATTCTGCAACCTTGCTATAATCACATTAGTTCCAGGAGTTTTTCTATGTCTCCTTCTATTTTAGGAGCAACAAATTGCTGCTTAGACCTCTGACAGATCCAAGAATGTTTGCTTTTCAGTTTATTCAGCTTTTTACTTGTTGGGATGGAACGATGGTTTCTATGCTCTTTACATGTCAGACCTGAAACTCCAGTTCTTCATTTTCTAAAATAAATGTTACTTTAAGGATTTGATTGACAATTTCAATTGCTTTGTCTTAGGAGAACAAAGTGTTTCCAAGTTAAAATTTGGCATTATTGTTAATAAAACACTGATTATATTAATACCTTGATTATAACATTATTAAGTGATTTTGCTAAAACAAAAGGAAGAAAATAAATTTTATGAAGTATATAATTAACATTTTTTAAATTTTTATTTCTTTATTTTTAGAGAGATGGAAAACATGGAGAAAGAGAGGGAGAGAAACATTAATGTGTGGTTGCCTCTTACACACACCCCCAACGCCTGAGGGACCTGACCCACAACCCAGACATGTGACCTGACTGGGAATCGAACCAGTGACCTTTGTTTCACAGGCCAGCACTTAATCCACTGAGCCACATCAACCAGTGTTGGGAACTGTCCTACCTGGTTTCAGAAGCTGTAACCCCACCGACAGGTATAAAGGCCCCACAGCTAGGGGTCCTTGGGACCATATGCCACTAAGAAGACAAAATTTATCTTCCTGGCAGGGATGCGGCCTCTTCTCCCCTTACTTCACCCTGCTTGGCCCATGGAGTATGACTGGATAGTCAATGACAGTTAAGATTCCTCAAGAAAGGAACGACCTAAGACAGGCACAGTTGCAAAGGGGCGATCGGGGAAGGACTTAGGGGATTTTGGAGAAGGGACAAAAAATTCTCACCCCTCAGCTTTATCATAGCCTAAGTCCTCATTCTATCTATAAAAAGTCTCTTAATCTCTCGGCTGCCTTGCTTCCCCCATTTGATTCAGGCCTGAAACAATGCTGAAAGGGGGTGCAGCCCTGTGCCAGAACTGGCAGTTCCCCATAAGGGGCAATCAGGCCTAAGAAAGAATGCATAAAGCCCTGTGAAACCTGCTTTGCTAAGAATGTCCTCAATTTAAATGTTAAGAGTCCAAGCACAAAATTAGTTTGTTTCCCAAGGTTTTACAGCTAATTGGCGTCACCCTGTCTACCAGACCCTGACTCAAAAGGACCCCTGTGCTCCCAGAAATGTTATCTGTAAACCATACCTCCTTTCTTTGATATGTATCCCTATGCAAGCTAAACTCAATAAAAGCCCATTGAGAGAGGGGTAGACACCTTTCTCCTCTGAGAAACTGGCCAGCCTTTCCTCTGCAAGCAGTCTCAGTAGAATTATTCTCATCCACGGTGGCAGGGAGCTCTGCAGGCAGAGCCCCTCCACAAACCAGAGCTAAATATATAATTTTTAAATTGTGTAAGTTTTCATTTTATTGCTTATCCAAACATCTCCAGCTTATCACAGGCTATGTGACCATATAATAATAATTACATGTATTCATCTTTGATAGTTTGCCCATACTCACTAAAATATAGCTACATACATGAAAAAAATTTTAACTTAGGATAAAGGTAGGAGGACAGAACATATTTTATTTAACAGTTCATTAGCTTGATTTCGGACTTTTAACTAAGTAGACATAAGGTATGGTGTCCTCCTTCATACTCTGGCCTGAAGTCTGCAGTCACATGTGGGCAGACCTGCTTGTGAGCACTGGCCTGATGGCCAGGTGTCAGTCAGTGGCTTGGGGAGCCAACAGCTGGAGGGAAGCTGAGCTAAGCAGAGGCACAGAAAAGAACCAAGGGGAAGAGGGGAACTTGGGCTGTTTGGGCTTCTTTCCCCCTGAACTTCTCTCCCAAACTCTACTTTGCCTAGCCCTTCTTTACCCATGCCTCTAGCTCCTCCAAGTGACATGTGTGAATTTCGTGGCTTACTGACTTAATTTAGGGGAATCTGGGAACACAACATAAAGGATGGCGTCTATTTAAAAACTTTCCCTTGAAGTATATTGCCTGTTGCTGTCTGCTCTAAAAGCTAATCACTGACCTGTTTGCAACATAGC